AATCAATCTATTGTAAACAGTCAACCTTAAATAGCAAAGAAAAAATAATGAAAGAAAATTCTATATAATTGAAAGCCCAGAGACACAAAAATTAAACTAAATACTCTCTGTTAAAGTTAAAAACTGTTTTGTAAAGCTAACGAAACAATTTTTAAATAAAAATTAACATTTTCCCAGCACCAACGAAACTAGAACTTAAAAAAAATATATTAACAATAAAATGAATGAATGAAAAAGAGACAACAAAAGAATTGAAACACAATTTATTATAAAATTAATAAAAAATAATTGAAGATTTAAAACAAAAACATTGGTTTTGTTTTCCTTTTTTTAAGTTGAAATTTTTTAATTTTGTAAATATTTCTTATGACTTAATTGTATAAAATTTTGATAATTTTTTTCTTTGTTTTTTTCTTTAATAAAATTTCATTTCAAAACCCAGTCGAAGAAAAATGTTTAATCATTAAAACTGTATTACTTTTTGATTTTATCCATTGTATATTTTTTACCAAATAATTATTGAAAATATATGTATATATGTATATATATTTGTTTTTTTAATATATACATATATCCTTCGTTGCTCATTTCGTTTGATGATAATGAAAGTAATCATTCCAACAAATTCAGCAGCCAATCATACACTTCAATCAAAGGAATTCGAAACTGTCGTAGACTCAATTGAGTAATTTTTTTTTTCAAATAATTAAATCACACAGCACACTCACTTTCTCAGTACCAACAAATAAACTACAATTTTCCAAACACCAGAGCAATTACAATTGTAGCGGCCACTTTACAAAAGCATTCATTACTTTTTAAAAATAAAGAGAGACAATATATCAACTTACATACATATGTACATATCGAAGAATTTGTCACACTTTCGTAAAACATTATCGCTTAAAGTTGCGATATAACACACTCTCATTCTATTGCGAACATTTTAAATCAAACATTTTAAATCTTCTTCACTTCCACTACACCCTCACTAGAAAACTGATCTATTAATATTGTTAATACTTTATTACACTATTGAAACATTGGGGCTTGCCACAGAATTCCATTCTGATCCGAAAAGTGGAATTATTTTGGAAATTTTAATCGGAATGAAAACTTTGTATGAGGCCCCATTAAAGTGCGTTAAAGTGATTAACAAAATTAATGGGTTATTTTCGATTTTATGTAAATTTTGTTATCAGTTTAGTTTTATTTTTGTTTAATTTTTTTTATAAATTTCTTAAATTTATCTTTTTTTGCTTTAGCAGTATCAAAATTTGTTGTATCGTAAGTTCTAAGAAAGAGTTACCCGTAAACTAGGAATAGGATCGGAGAAAATAGCGATGTATAACAATATCGCATTCGTTAGCAGTACTTTTAATAATCAGACATCTAGATATTATCTACAGATAATAAATTCTTTCTAACTTCTCTATAAAAATTTCAAACAGATCAAATAATTCAAAACATTAAGTTCGAGGTATTATTCTTCTTATATAATGAAAGATTAATGTTTGTTTGTAATCGATAAACTCGGGATATACGGCACCTACTGGGAAAAATTCCTGAGATCGTGAAAAGTTTTCCTTTAAAGTTTAAAAGATCACATCAGTGTTTTACATTTCAATCACTTAAAAAGTTCGGAGTATTTAGATCTTTACATGGAGAAAAGTATAGATCAAAATTAGGGCCACTTACGCAGATCGGTTTTAAAAAGTAAGAACTACTGAACCTAATGGAACAACAATTTAAACTTAAATTTCAAGAACCGCAAGAATTGCTTCTGCGAAGTCTTAAATTTTTCCGGTAGATGACGTCATACATTCAAACTTTAGTAAGTCACACCTACTAATCGCTTAATTCTAGCTGTACAGTCCAACAGACTAAATTCCTAAAATCCCCCTTCAAAATTTTGGCCAAATTTTTATGAAATTACTTTTTCTCGGCTTTTCGAATAGTTGGCTTAACACATACATACTTCAATGTAGAATTACTACTCTGATTTTTAAAGGAATCTCTTGACTTAATGTTTAGTTTGAAAATCAAAGAGATTGTATTTTCTCAAATGGATCAGTATTATCTGGCTCACTGAATATTGTTAATACTCTATCAGAATTTTAATACTCTATCAGATGATTTTCTGCGGCAGAGGTAGAATTACTGCTTTAATTTTTAAAAAAATCTCACGGCTTAATGTTTAGTTTGAAAATCAAGGAGATCGTATATTCTCAAATGGATCAGCATTATCTGATTCACTGAATCAGAATTTTGATGACATATATTTTAAATCCAATTGACTTCTTCTGATTACAGAGGATCGGAGATCTTCTGCGGCAGAGATATAAATTGTCCACACCTTTTATGGCCAATTGTACATGGACCGGCGTACAGAAATTGCCAAAAAGGGGCTGTGGTGAATCGTCTAACAGCTCACCCAGCGGTTGTAAAAGTACCAATGTGTTATAAAGCGTTATGACAGATGTTCGCGTAAAGCACTTCTGTTCACAGCTGCATAGTTCACTGGTCTAAGATGGAGCTATTGTGACAATAAACTTATATGATTTCGTATTCGTTTGTGACCGAAATTTTCTTTAGAATCTGATAGTTCTGTACTTACCGTTTCATTTAAACTAATAGATCATGACTTAGGAAAGTACCGCTGTGTAATAAAGCGTTATGACAGATGTTCACATAAAGCACTTCTGTCCATATCTGCATAGTTCACTGGTCTAAATGGAGCTATTGTGACAATAAACTTATATGTTTTCGTTTGTGACCGAAATATTCTTTAAAATCTGAAAAACATTGATAGATCAATACTTCCCGGTTTTCATTTAAATTTCATTTAAACTAATAGATCAGAAATTAGTCTCACAATAATACAACGTTAGTGATTTTTAATCCACATTTCCTCAAATAAAAGAACCATTTTAACACGTTGACATATATTACGCCGATAGATACAGCGACCTTCAAAAAAAATTGTTTAAATTAACGGTGGGATCGAACAATGCCAGAATTAAGTTATAATATAATAAAAAGAAAGATAAGCAAAGATAATATTCGAGATGATCTATTACAATTTTGATTTAACTACTCCGTAAAGTTATTACTCGAACGCTATAGGAAAAGGGACTTAATTAGATCCTAGAAGATAACAAGTAGGTCTTATTCGTACATCGACAGAGAGTAAAAACTTAGTTCCCCGACTAGTTTTATTGGGTTTTGATACATGTGTGAGCATAATTGAGCGTGAAAGAACGATTACAAGAGATCAGATAAGCGATTTGTCTGACCTCTTTTCACTAGTCATGGAGCTAGTGCTTTTAAAAGAAGTTACTCAAATGTCCATATATTCGAGTCTGATGTGATAATCTTTAACAAAATATATAAAATTTTCCTTTGGAAACATATAAATAAAATCAAAAATTGTTTGGCAATACAATAGTGGATAAAAAATATTTAATAGTAAATAAATTTCAAAAAGATACTGCTAAAATTTATAACAAATTAAGGTTCTTTTTTAAATAAAAATATATTCAAAATTTATAATTTTTTTCGTAAATGTTTCTTTAAATCTGTCTCTGTTTTCTGTGTGATATATATTGTATAAATAATTCTAACTCTGTCTGTTAAGTTTTGTTCTCTCTCTCTCTCTCTTTTGATTTATTATTATGTTAATTGTTTTTCTATCTCTCTCTCTCACTGCCAGAAAAGAATTGAATTTATTTTCCGTCTATTTTATATGCACGTTATAAACTAAAATGCATCCAAATTTTCTATATAAAGTATTTATTATAAATTAAGTATTTTATTATTATTATTATTCTTATAATTTGTTATTTAAAATTATAATTTTAAATTTAATTTTTCATTTACACCACAAATAAAAAAAACACAACCATTTTCAAGGCGTTAAATTACAGTAAAAAAAAATATAAAATAATTAATAAAAATTTTCATTCATACATTAAAATAAACTCTAAATCATTTGACATCTCTTTCTCTTGCTCTAACTTTATCACTAACTCTTCACAATAAGACACATAACTAACTCTTTCACTCTCTATCTAACTCTCTTTCTAAATAACTCTAACCAAACTTCACACTTCACTTTAATTTACACTAATTTTAAAAGACATTTAGACCTAATGACCAGGACCTTTAAAATCCAACAATCAACCTACAAATTTACGCAGCAGCTTGCCAAAATCTATATGTAAAACAAAAGTTTAATAAAAAAATTTAAAATAATTAACCTAAAAAAGTCTAAAATGATAACAAATATTTAACAAAATTTATAAAGAAATTAAGAGAAAATAAAAGTAAATGTAGTAAATATAGTAGAATTGCATATAATAGAAATATGTACTAATACTATGATTAATAAAAAATTTTAATTAATTTAATTAAACTTTCAATTCAAACCATGTGTGTTCATTAGTTACCAAATTATTTTATTGTTTTTTTGTTTATTATTTATTTGTTATTAAGAAAAGCTAAGAAAAACAACAAAACCGTTATAATTATTTAATATAAAATTAAACAAAAAAAAAAAAATAAAACATTCCACAAAAATGAATAAAAATTTTTGAAAAACCTTAAAAATATTACAAAAAAAGAAAACAAAAACTTTATAAAAATTATGGGGCCAGTAGTACGTAAGTGTTCGGGCAAAATCTAAGTATTTTGGTGATAATCAATCTGAAATTATTTCAAAAAAATGCTTTATGTTTCCTAGACTTTAAACAAATAAAATCCCTTAATTATTAAACAAATTTAATTACTAATTTATTATATATTTAAATTTAATGTATATCCTTTACTTAAACATTTTAGTGGCAATGCAAATTAGGTTTTTTTGTGTTCAATATCATCATTATTACTTAATTATTTACTATCCTAATTAACAATGTTAATTATTTTCAGTTTTCTCTTTTTGTTTTTTACTTAATGATCATTTAATTTTCCTTAAGTTTTTCTCTCTACTACAATATGAATAGTTTTCTGTGTGTGTTTTCTGTATTAAATTAAATTCCTAGAATTTTGAATCTTTAACTAAACTTAACTAAAATAATTAAGAAACAAGTCAATTAATTACCTCAAAAAAAGAAGACACTTAAAAACGCAACTAACATCTATCAATTAGTATTATCTACCAACAAAAAACAAATAAATAAATAATTAAATAAATAAATTATAATAAATAACGAGCACCCAACAAAAAGCAAAAAAAAACCAAAACAAAAAAACCATTTCAAATCGCCCTTTTCAGATGTACGGTAACTATGCGCCAGCTGGAAGCCCACCGTTGCCAGATATTATAGGACAGTATTATTCTCCGGGATACGGCGGCCCTGGGCCATATGATTTGTATGGAGGACCTTCGACATCGGCTGGCTACTTGTATGATCCTGCGGCTGTGGCCGCCGGTTATTATGGTCAAACCTCGCCCATACGTAGGCGCCGTTATAGCATTGCTGGCCTGCCGTCGGCCTCAATGATGAACGATTATTATGGTTACCAGCCGGTGGGTCCACAGCCTTTGCATCAGTCTTCCTCTTCGAATATTATTAATTTGCTCAACGAGGCTCACAAGTCGATATCGCGCTCCTCCCAAATACTCGGCCATCACGCACGTCTGGCTCAGGCCCAACAGGCTGCCGCCCAAACCGTCACACCCCTAACGCACTATCCCGGTCGTGTCATATCTAGTTATCCCACTCTGCATCCGGGTGACACCTCGCCGCCCTATCTGAACGATAATCTTATGCAAATGTCCGCGAGTTTTTCGTCGCAGCCGAACATGTACTTCCAGCAATACACACAACCACCTCAGGCGGCACCCGGCCAACTGGGCATGGGCGGTATGGTTGGTGGAACGCGTTTAAGACCCGCGTACTCGGTATCGAATCTAAACTATCTCAATTATCCCAGTGGTGTGGGGGTGGGGGTAGGTGGCGTCGGCTTGGGCGGCAGTAAATATGCGACGACAGCAGGTGGTGTGGCCGGCAGTAGTTATATAAACCCGTACTCTCAAACCCTATACAATCCATCGGATGTGAATGCCTACAATGTCAATAATATTATGCAACAGCGCAACTTAATGTCATCATTACACGCCTCGAATCCCGCCATATCGCAACTCTATCAACAGCATCAGCATTTGCCATCACAGCAGCAACAACATCAGCAGCAGCAGCAACAATACAATACGCACCAGCAAATGCTGGCCCATAATATACAACAGCAATTCGCTGGCACCCAACATTATGCTCACCAAATACCGCCCAGCACACATCCCTCAGCTCATATACATGCCTCGGTACAGCAGCAGCTGAATCCGGATCATCAATTTCACATACACCAGCATCAGAACCACTTGCAAACACATCCGCTGGCCGCTCTGGCCAGCACGACGGCACCCTTCCCGGCCACCCTGACGAGCAGCGCTCTGCACGATGTGCGCAGCGCCATGGGTGGTGGAGGCGGTGGGCTTGGTGTTGGTCTCGGTAGCAGTGGTTTGTCTGGTTCCGGCGGTGCTGCATACGATCACTTACTACACTCCTCATATCCGCACCATCATCTGCAACACACTCACTCGCACATGCAGCATCCGTTGTCGGCAACAACTTCATTAGGACACTCATACTCTCATCATCCGCATCATATGTCACCATATTCGAAAATAGATTTAGATTATCCAAAACTGCCACAAGAGCAAAAACGACAAGTAAGTTTTAAATTTGACGTAGATACGCTATCTCTAGATTCTTAAGTCCAAAAGCTAATTAAAAATTTAATCAATTTCTAAGAAATATAAACTAAAAAAGAAAATTAATAAGTACGCTGCAACAATAAAGCATTTTACTGCCTAAAAATTTAACTTAAAATTAAATTACTTATAAAAACAATTAAAATATTTCAATTGGAGAAATACATATCTCTATATATTATTCTATCTATATCTCGATCACGCTCATTCTCTCGCAGCAAAAACAAAAGCCCAGCCCGAGAGGAGGACAGAACAATAAAAAAAACCGTTACAAAAGAGTTTAATTAGCATAAATTGGTATATGCATAAACTTATATACATATAATTATGTATATGTATGTACATGTGTACATATTGCTAATGCTGCTGCTGCAACTATGACCACAATTATAGCGGCTTTTTGCTAAAAGGAATTTGATTTTATATGAAAATAATTGAAAATATAAGAAATAAAACTGCATTTATGCGCTCATAGAATTCTTTCATTTTATTTCTTTCATTCATTTTTCTCTTTATTCTCTACTTATATTATGTTACATCTACATATAACGTTGTTTTTTTAGCAATAAATATTTACATACTAATAATTCATTTCCTTTTTTTGTAAACAAACTGCTAACAAATGGCTTAGAAATGCATTTATGAAACGAAAGAAAACGAAGAAAAACATACAAAATATTTATGTGCATTTTTTTGTGGATTCCTAGATCCGGGAACATTATGCATTTACTTACTTTTATTATTAACAAACAATATACCAAATGCCAAATTTAAACAAAGAAACAAACAAAATTTTTTCGTTTTTTAGGGAATACTTACAATATTTAAACTATTTTGATTAGAGAATATTAGTCTAAAAACGAGGACGAGTTTAGAGAAATCTACTTTTGAATATAAAAGAAAAAAACACTTATAGAGATAAAGAAATACTACAATAAATTTTGTAGGGATACGGAAAAATTATAAATAAAAACACAATTGAAGCGTTAGGCGATAACTACTACAAAATGGTTGTAAACCAAATAAAGTTATAGCACGAGATTCTTTGGGATAGTTAAACTTAAGTGATTTTGAGTTGACGATGTTGTAGTAAATTACTAGTACTATGCGGATCCACAAATTTTACCATCTCGGTTGTATAAGTTTGCCAAATATAAAATATTATTTATAGTCCATAATAAAAACATGTAAAATTGACTAAAAATGTCTACGTTTTTCCGTAAAAGTAATACAGGCCAAGAAATAGTCGAAACCCAGACCCCATTCTTTAATCTATATCTAATCTGAGAATTTCTCCATGTTATCAAGTTTTCGTATATCGTGTCTTAAAGTTGGAAAACCCCATCGAATACACCTTTTTTAATAAAATTTGTTATATCATCTGAAATTCCAAAGTGTCGACTTTAAAAAAGAAGATTTTACCTTTTTCATATATTCCTCCACCTTTTTAAGTTAGTTTTGAAACCATTATTTTATAGCAAAAGCTACAATGGAAGATATCTCAGAGAATACAAGAGGTTTTTAAATTTTTCAAAAAATTGAGATTCAGTTTAAACCTTAAGAAATACTTATAGGTTATGGGTCTCTGTATAATTCTTCAATAATTTATATATCCTTTTCAAGAGATCTAAAAGAACTAAATTTTAAGAACATATATATTTAGGAAACTTACATTTTCCGAAAAATTATAATTTCGATTATTCAAACGTTAATTCCAAAGTCCGAATATATTCAATATTAATTATATAGATTTTACAACCGATTCTTATTACCATCAAAAACCCACATCTAAGTTATCACGATTTTATAGATTGTTTTTTAGAAGACAGGGTCTTTAAACAATATACCAGTCGTAAAACTTGCACCTTAACAAATTTGACAAACAAATCATGGCGATCTACCGAACGATTGCAAAGGTCCATTGATGAGTCATTTAGAGTCACATTGTACCAATTATTTAATTTGTGATCAGTACCCTGTTTCGATCAAAAGTTACACGAAATGTGATTCTATGGACGATATTGGTGATCTCCAGAACATTGTTCTTTGTTCTTTGAAATGTCTCATTCAAGGCCAGTGCATTCAATTAAAACTATATATAAAAACTAATTAAGTTACGACATCCTTAAATCAGTTTTGTTGTTATTGTAACAGATCAACTGTGATCAATAGTATGACTTGGGTCATACCGGAGCTAAATTAAATTGTCTTAGAAACGTAAAAATTGGAATGGACAATTTTAGAGATTTGGAGATCTTATCTAAAGATCAATTGATGAATCGCTCTGTTTTACCATATGTACTTGATTAATAAATGCCTATAAAAGTATACTTTAAGATCAGTATGGACAATATTAGTGATATCTAGAACAACACACATGTTTTTTGATCCATAAACACCATATTTCAAGACCACTTTAACGAGTCATTTAGCTGCAACTAATTGATTTAAGTTCAGTTTTTTTTGAACAAGATCAGTTAGATCTTGAGAAGAGGACGTGTTGTAGAAAGATTTTAAAAGACTTCAAACAAAATGACTCTAGCATAAGATTAATTAATACATATAAAAAGTACACTTTAAGATCAGTGTGGCCGCCATTGGTGATCTCTAGAACAACACAGTTTTTGATACAGAAATGCCTTATTTCAAAGACATTTTATTGGGTCGTTTAGTTGGAACCAATTGATTAAATTCTGTATTTTTTGAACAAGATATTTTTTCATTCAAAAAGGTCTTATTGCAAGTTTGATTTATGGATCGTTCGGTTAGATCTTAAGAAAAGGAATCTGTTAAAGATATTAGAAGACTTCATAAACAATGACTCCAGCATAAGTATTTTGCTATTCAGAAACGTCTCATAAAAAAAATGGACCGGTTCCAATCTCAATGCAGAAATTTTAACCTTATGTGAATATATTGAATCTCTATGAATCATGTAACTGAAAAAATGTAATTATTATTTATGTAGACATCCGTTCCGAATGGATAAAGCCAAATGATTCAATGGCGAAAAATTAATATAAATCCAATTTTCATGAATATTCTACGTTTCCCAGAAGTTCTTAAGTTATAGTCATATGCCAACAACCAGTACAAGATCCATAAATGTCGTATTGCAAATCGCATTGATGGGTCGTTCAGTTGGGTCTTAAGCGATGGGTTCTGTTTCATAAAGATTCTAAATCTCAATATTTCACTTACTATTGCAATTATATAGTGTAACAGATCAAATTCTCTGACAGGAATTGAACCAGCATGCATCAAATTGTTAGAATAGTAAAGATTTTTGGTTTCCACAGGGATACAAAAAATTTATGATTGAATCAAAAGGTCTTTCATTGAAAAGTCATATTACATGCTTACGGGTTAGGACTTTTTAAAACATTTCATCAATAGAATTCGTTTAAAATACTGTCGGCAATTTAATTTTCTAAAATATTATATAGAACTTCTTGAGCAAATCATCTTAAGCTATTTAGTCGCCTAACGTTTTAATTGTGTTTATCTACATATAAATATTAAATTTAGTGCCTAATAAAATACTTTTTTGCTAACAACGCTATAAATATGAAACAAAATTCTATAAAATAATAATAAAAACGAAGATTTAAACATTTTCCCAAAAAAAGAAGATGTTAACAAACTTAATTTTTTTATTTAAAAGTAACAACAAATTGTGTTTTAATAAAAAAAAACTCAAATCTTTTTTTTTAACAAATATTAAAGGAAAAAACACAAGACTGTAAATATAATTTATGGAGAAAAGTTTTAAAATAAAAAAGTAATAAGAAAAAATTAAGGCAATATTAGTTTAACTGTTACAAATATAAACAAATGCTCTTTCGCTTTAAGATTTATTAAATCAAAACCTTAATTAAAAATTAAAAAAAAACAACAACAACCCACTAAATTTAATTTCAAATTGAATATCATGTTTGTTCCTCACCCCACTCAAATGAAAATTTATGAAAAATTAAGATTTCAACAAAAATAAACGTAGTTTAGGCCAACAGCATAAATGTAGGCGCAATATTTTTATTTTAATTTCAATTTTATTTATTTATTAATTTTTTAGTTTTTAACTTTTTCTTAATAAAAAAAAAACTAGAGAGTGTGATCATTAGAAAAGAAGGTCAATTAATATAAAAAAAATTAAATAATTAAAAATTAAGAAGTAAGATTAACAAAGTAATAAAGAATAAAAAAACACAAGTGTAAGCAAAAAAATATTGTATTTTGTAAATTTAAGTTTAAAAAAAATTAAGCAAAATTATGTAATATTTAGTCAAACAATTTGAAATTTATATAAAACCCCAATTTATTTTAAAACTGTGTAAACTTTTATAAAACTATTTATTCGCAATATGTATTCAATGTAAATGTTTGTTAAGTAGTTCTTAATTTATTTAACTAGAGTTTATTTTTATTTTTTCTCACAAAAACCTTATAATTATTTAACTATCAATTACAGTTTTATGTACTTACTATATTATATATATATGTATATTTTATCATTATTATTATTTCAAACCCCTAAAATTTAGAATTATCTACATACCAACATACATAACTATATAGTTAATATTGAAAAAAAAAAAGCTTAATTATGTCCTTTAAAGCATCGATATGCAACGATAAAGAAAATTATATAAAAAAACAACAAACTTAAAAAACAATCCTTTATATTCTCCTCTACATGCAAAAAAAAAATATATAAAAAATATATAAAACGAAATCCATTATAAATCATACTTAGTAAAGATTAGATGAATGAAAAACCATAAAACAAAAAAAAAAACTACAGTGTTGTATTTGCATTTATATACACTTTAATGTATACACTAAACTATTATTACAATTATTATTATTATTACTATGATTACAATTATAATTATAATTATTATTATGAAACTATTTAATCGACTGTTACAAATCTTTTTGAAAACGAAACAACAAAACCAACAAAAAAACGCAAAACAAAAACTTATACTACTTATAACAATAATCTATACTATACATACATAAATACATACTTACATATTGAATACAAAATAATTAATATACTAATTATACAATATTTATTAATATCATATTTATACATCCATCAAGGCAAATCCAAAAATTATTGCTATTGATATTATTGAGTTTCAAAATCAACTACAGAATTTTTCAGTTCGTTTAGGAATATGTATTGAAAAATCTATTTAATAAAACTACTGATACTGAGTCTGAGAGTGATTAAGAACTTTCCATCCTATACCTACCATGCAAATTACACAATCCAATGACAAAGATATAACGATTCGGTGTTGCGATTTAAATCTCGCTATTCACTCAACGACGAATACAATTTAAAATGTTTCACGATATCATCTTATTCTTATGCAAATTTTCATCCGGAATGATAAAAATAGGGAAGCCATTGGTCCATTAGAATGCCCTTGTTATTCCTTTGCTTCACGAGAGAACCAATCGGAACCAATGCCTAAAAGTCATAGAAAATTTTCCACCACTTTTACTATAAAAAGAACTTTTCTAAGTTTATAGAGTTGCTAAACGACTAGTTCATAGACTACTCTATATATTAGTATATAGATTAGTTCATACACTACTACATCGACCAGTCAATAGCCTAAACAATAGAATAGACGATAACCTAACCCATAGATAAGCGAATCAACTAGTCACGGTACTTTTACTATAATAAGAACTTTTCCAAGTTTAAAGTTAGACTAGCTAAAATACTAGTTCATATATTAGTCGATAGGTTAGTTCATACCCTACTATATCGACTAGTCAATTGACTAACCAATAAAATAGACCCACAGACTAGTGAATAAACTAGTCGCAGTACTTTTACTCTAATAAGAATTTTTCTATGTTTACAGACAAACCAAAAGAATAATAAATAGACTAGTCTATATTAGTCGAGGCTAGTTCATCGACTAGTCAATAGACTACATCAACTAGTCAATAGACTAGTTAATGGACTAACCAATAGAATAGACGATAACAGACTAGTGAATAAACTATACACGGAACTTTTACTATAATAAGAAGTTTTCCAAGTTTATAGACTAGCTAAAAGACTAGTCCATATATCACTCGATAGGTTAGTTCATACACAACTACAACGACTATTAAATGGACTAAACAATAGAACAGACGATAAACTAGCCCACAGACTGGTGAATAGACTAGACACGGTATTTTTACTATAATAAGAACTTTTCCAAGTTTATATACTAGCCAAAAGACTAGTTCATTGACAAGTCTTTATATTAGTCGATATAGATAGACTAATCAACAATATAGACGATAAACTAGTCCACAGACTAGTGAATAAACAAGTTTATAGACTATCCAAAGACTAGTTCATAGACTAGTCCATATATTAATCGATAGGTTAGTTCATACCCTACTACATCGACTAGATAATGTACTAAACAATAGAACAGACGATAAGCTAGTCCACAGACTAGTGAATAGACTAGTCACTATACTTTTTCTATAATAAGAACTTTTACAAGTTTATAGACTAGCTCATAGACTAGTTCATATATTAGTCGATAAGTTAGTTCATACCCTACTACAACGACTAGTTAATGGACTAACCAATATAATAGACGATAGATTGGCCCATAGACTAGTGAACAGACTAGCCACGGTACTTTTACTATAATAAGTTAAACTAACCAAAATACTAGTCTATATATTAGTCGATAGGTTAGTCAACAGACTAGTATCTCGGTATCTCGACGTGCGGGTTGTTATTCTTTATGTATTACGACCCGCTATTGAACATTTATCTTGTATGAGACACACATTCTATGTATTAAATATTCTTTGCTAGTACATAGACTAGTCAGTAGTATAGTCAATCGATTAGTTAATATAATAATCAATAGACTAGTTAATGGACTAATCAAGAGAATGGACTATCCCACAGACTAATGAATAGACTAGTCCATTGAGTAGTCATTCGACTAGCCATAAATAGTCAAAAAAACTAGATCACAGCCAAGTTTGTAGTTTGGTCTATAGATTATTCAATAGACTAGTAGATAAAGTAATCTATGGTTAGTAGGCTTGACAACAGAAAAAAAAACATCTGGATAATAATTTACACCAAAAAAATACTAATTATATTGGTAAAAGTTAGTACTATTTTGAAATTTCCATTTTCCATGCCTGGTCCAGATAATGAATTATGCTTCTGCCACGTTTGTTTGTAGAATATTTGGTTTCTTCGATTGGTGAATAAAATAGGAATTCTGATCACCAATATTAATTTTCTTCTTTGGGATCTGATTCCATTGACACAGTCTAGTTCCAGTAATTTCTTGTTTTCGTTAAGTGTTTTGTTCCATCTATTTTATTTTTTTCTTAATCATTCTCTATTCTTGAATCTTTATTTTGTCTGAAGAGAATCACAATAGACCGAGTGATCTGCGAGGGGAGTTGCACGCTCTTTTTGGTACATAACCTAATATAACCTAATGTGTACTACATTATCTCAGGTTGCTCTCCTATAGAGCGAACGAGAGATATTGTACCGATTCTTCTTTATGAACACGTTGGATGAATCCAATCATAAAATTCCCAGTAAATATAAAGGCATATAAAAGTCTTAGACCAAGAGTGTCAAGTCCTGTTTACTCTAGCTTCCATTCTCGCCCTCGTGTCTTGTAATCCTAATTCTTGGCTTGGAGGGCATAAATGCACTTGAAAAGAAATTTGGAGGCTTCAGAGAATCAATACTGTGCACTTAGATATTATTGGTCAAAGTTTCGATATTTGTTTATTTTTTAATACTTCTCGCGTAGGCACTTAGCAATATAATGGAAACTAAGAGAACAAGCTCATCATATTTCCGAGATCGTGTAGTCCGAAGGCAACCTAGTTTTCCCTTTTTAGTACTCTAATACGGATGATTCGATTAATGTTTAGTGTAGATAGTACATACATATGTATATAATTCGTACACTACCCTACTTTATCCAGGATCGTGGCATAAACGATCATTACATTTCATACACCTTACTCTGAGTTTTTTAGCCGATTTAGTTGATATACATAATATAAATCTCTAGACTAATATGAGACGTTGAGAGAATAGATGTGTACAATGTATGTTTTATCCGAAAGTTTTCTTGCAATTATATAAGTTAAATAGGGCCTTATTCAATACTGCCAATCTATATTTCACAAAATCTATTTTAAACAGTTATCTAACAACACTGCCTAAATATTATCAAAAATATATGTATATGTATAATTTGACTCATTACACGTTACTTGGATTTGCCTTTAGTTATTTGAACTAGACTAATTCTAAATGATATATTTAAATTTAATAAGTTTAAGTTCTAAATAATTAACAAAAAAACATTTCAGTATTTTTCCATTATGTTATTTATTATTTATAAGTGATTTAATTTATGATTTTTTATTTCTTGTAAGTTTTTAATTATATTAATTATATTTATCAGTTATATAAACAAATATATAATAAAAATATTTTATATTATAATACAATAAAAAAGCAAATAGAAATATAAATAAAAATTACTAAAATGATATTAAAAAAAAACAATAAAACATAGTATTTTGGCAAAGCAGTTATTTAAATAATAAAAAAAACAATAAATTATTTTTCCGAAATAATTTTCTTTAATTTAAAAGCATACCCAACAACACACCCCAACTGGAGGTTGAAACACGGACCTACAATTATAAAACCAGTTACTGACTTTCGAACTCCTTTTGATTTTGAAAAAAACCCAGAGTTGCAAAATAAAACCTGAACACCTTTCACGATCGTAAGACATATGAAAAAAAAGTCATCATTAAAAGTAAATTCATTTTGCATTATTAAACAATTTCCTTTCGAAAAAAAAACAACAACAACATCCTCTTTAACTAACACATGCTTTAAATAAAAAATTAAACAAATTAAATTAATTATAAACATTTTTCTAAATTTTTCTAATTCAATTCATTACAAACAAAAGTTGGACGAATTCCGTCTTGAAATACAGAGGAGGGATCAGGAAATATTGGCAATGGCGGCCAAAATGAAAACATTGGAAGAACAACATCAGGTAACTAAAAGTGCAAAAAGTCAAAATGCTAAGTAGAGTGTAAAGTAGTCAAACTTAGTTTAGACTGTGTCAAGAAGTAAAAGCTCGAGATCATCATTAAGTTAAAAATTTTATTATTTTCTTCATCAATATTAAATCTAGGACTACCAGAGGCATATTGCGGTCTTGAAAGAGTCGCTATGTGCCAAAGAGGAACACTACAACATGTTGCAGTCTGATGTTGAAGAGTTGAGGGCCCGTCTCGAGGAGAAGAATCGTTTGTTGGAGAAAAAGAATCAGGGTACCATGCAGACAGTTCAGGAGCGTAATCGTCTAACCAGCGAGCTAACCGAACTCAAGGACCATATGGAAATTAAAGATCGTAAAATCTGTGTACTCCAACGAAAGGTGGTGTTGCCCAAAAAACTAATAAATTCCCCCAAACTATACTCTCACTCTCTATATCCCCCCCTTAAAGATAAGTGAATGAGAAAACAAAGAGCTTGAGTAAAAAATTTTAAATATTAATAGACAAGTAGTAGAAGCAATTTAATGTTCATAGATTATTAGAACTATTTCGCTCATTTATTTTCTCATTGACTCAACTCTGACATTTATTTACGCTTTTACTATAATTATATTTTTTATGTATTTGGTTGATAATCTCTGTGTATATGTATATGTGTGTGTGTATATATATAGATTGAAAACTTAGAGGATTTGCTCAAGGAGAAAGATAACCAGGTGGATATGGCTCGTGCACGGTTATCGGCAATGCAAGCTCATCATAGCAGTTCGGAGGGCGCTCTCACAAGTCTCGAAGAGGCCATTGGCGACAAAGAGAAGCAAATGGCTCAACTGCGAGAACAGCGAGATCGTGCCGAACATGAAAAACAAGAAGAACGTGAACTGCATGAGCGTGAAATTGCCGATTACAAAATCAAATTGCGTGCCCTCGAAAGTGAAGTTGAAAAGCTAAATACTCGCCTTGAACGTGCCGTCACTGAACGTGAACGTTTAGAAATCAAGCTTGAGGCTTCACAAAGCGAATTAGGCAAATCGAAAGCCGAATTGGAAAAAGCCACCTGTGAAATGGGACGCAGCAATGCCGATTGGGAGACCACCAAACAGCGCATAGCACGCTTAGAACTCGAAAACGAACGACTCAAACACGATTTGGAACGTTCACAGGTACTCGCCACATTCTCATTTAGTTCTAAATATAAAACATTTTCTCTTTATTATTATACTTTCATATGATTATGATTTCAATTCGTTAAAGTGTTTCATTTAGAATCAAAGATATCATAAGTGTTGTATTTTTGATTTGATTTTACCAAAAAAAAAGAAATAATAATTACTTATATATATCTATAACATATAAATTAATAATAAATATTTGTAAATGTTAACATATATTTTCCCCCCATTAAACTTAAAGTTAAAATTATTTAAGAAAAAAAACGAAAGTTACAAAATTTTTTTCAAAATATTTATTTGTTTTTATTTTTTTAAATTTTTACATGTACACCTCATATTTACTCTCGACTACCTTTATTCCATCTAATAAACTACTACTATTACTACTACTACTCCTAATTACTACTACTACTATTTAAAAATATTAGATGCAGCTAGATGAACAAACCACACTACATAAAGTAAGACATATTTACATATATATTTTCTTTTGATTTTTCTCTATAATTTAATTTAAATTTTCTTTATATTAAACTATTAATTTTATACTTTAATTCTTTAGTAATTGATTTTTAATTTATAGATGATTAAACTCACTCAAATTGCCAGCAGGGAATAGTTAGTTTAGTTTAGTTAGTTTGTTAGTTAGTTAATTATTTTAGTTAATTCAATTAAATTTTAAGAAATCCTAATAAACTGTCCAACATCACCACCTCCAACATCATAATGCGTCCTTTTCTAAAAAGAACAAAATCAGAAATCAGATCAATTTGCCTCCCGCCCCTACCCCTTGACAGCACTTTCATTTCCTGTTTATTAGTGTATATTATACTAAAACTCTACTAGTATCTATGTATAACTGTGTAACTACATACATACATAAGTATCTGTGTAACAAATTCAAATTTAAAAAGAAAAACTATGTATTAAGAGTTAAAAGTTTGCACACAATCACAAAAAACTTAAACAAAAACAAAACCCAGGAAAAAAAAAACAAAACATTACTATTATTACAATGATTGTTGTTTTTGTTGTTGTTATTGGTGCACTTCTCAAACACTTCTCTATCTCTAACTGTCTGTCTATCTTTTCTTCTCTTAATACATGTACATAAATTTAGTTTTAGTTCCACAAAAAAAAGCGAAAAAAAACTAAACAATTGAACTTCATTATCATTAGTAGTAACATCATCATTATCATTATAATTAAATATTTAAAACACTGCCAATAATTCTCCAAATGAAAGGTTTTGATTTAATAACAATAAAAATAAAAAAACAAAATACGCAATTGATTTAAATTATTGTTTAAAACAATTTAAAAAAGAAATTACACAGAAAAGAAAATCGTAAAAAAAAGAAAGAAAGAAAATCAACAATAACTACTACAAACCAGCTAGTAATCGCCCCTCTCTAGTTTTTAAAAATATTTATAGATATTTGTGTATGTATTAAGTGTATACTTACCATGTATGTTTATGTATTTGATTAATTTAATTGAACCCCTCAAAGTATGCTACAAATAATATTGCGTATAGTTACGGTCAAATGTATGGAACTAATTAGATATTACGGTTTGTCCTTGTTCTATATTAAGAATACGTACATAAATAACTAAAATGAAATGTGTCAAGCTACGTTCATATTGTTCAAATATATTATGAAATAAATGTAACGAGTTAATTGTTTAGGGAGGTAATTCAGTACGTGCAATCACTTAAGTTGAGTTAAGAGGACCACGTTTTAACATTTCAACGTCATGTTTTTGTCTTTGCTCTCCACTACTACATCAATCTCTATTCTTGTTTTTTAAGGGATGTGGGCAATACCAAATATTAAGCGATCGCCGATTCGAGTTATCTTGTTGCAACGTCTGTATAAGTTATTACTTTCAATACCGACAGCAAATTTACATACTAGAATCCGGGAACTGAATCTCGAAAATTCGACTATACATATATACCAGAGATACAAGCTGAGACGGCTCAAATCGGCGGCGGCTGGCCGCCGGTAATATTTAGCAAGCCGCGCCGCCGCCGACTTCTTTAGGCTCAAAAGCTAAGCCGGCTTTAACGTAGCCGCTGATAAAGATTGGAATCGCACGTCTTTCAGAAAATAATTACACCAATTTCAACAGAGTTGCCACTATTTTAAATTCTTATGGCAAATTCAGAAGAGTTGCCACACAATATTGTGCTAATATTAAAATAGTGATAACTACTATAATAATGTCCATTTTCTGCAGAAAAAATTTATATAGAGACAGGTTTCTATATAACAGACTATTATACAGAGATTTTTCAATATAATAAACGCTTATAAGGTCAATTTCTGAAGAAAAAGTTAAATTGAGCCGACAATTTAGCCGCCGCCGATATTTTCTAATATAAGCCGCCGACGATCATTTTGCATCGGCTTGTATCTCTGATATATACTTGGACAGTCTTGCAACAATCAAGCCTCTTAACTCCAATGTTATTAAGTCGAAATGTCTAGTCAATTGTATTCAATCATTGGCACAACTGACACAACATTACGTTGAGTTGGTATGAGTTCCAGAACATGAAAATGAAATATCTGATGAATGCGCAGCCGAAGGGTCGTCCCTGGACTTCAGTCTTTTGAAAAGGGATATACACACTCCCCTGGTGATCCTATCCAAATTGATAGATGACTGAGCTTTGAGTTTGACGGAACTTAGGTGGTCAAATATCACCACTTGTAAAATATCGAGACTGCTCTGGCCCACTCTCACAAGGGATAGGGCTAGGACTCTTTTGTCTCTTATTAAGAACTCAATTAAGCTTCTCACTGGTATAATTACTGGGTACTATATAATGGGACATATGTCGGAACGTATGAGCTACCCACGTTATAACTACTGTAGAAGCTGTTTGGACAAGGAAGAAGAGGAATCGGTACAACAACTTCTATGCCCAGCTGCCATGAGCCTTACATGAGCACAGACTACTATATCTAGGTAGAACTCTTTTCCATGATCTGTACTGTCTCAGAGATGCGTCACTAGTAAACATGATGGGTTTTATTAGAAATACCGTCTGGTTCTCACGGAGACCGTAAGAACCAAGTAGGCAACGAAATTAGGGAGGGAAATCATTCTCTCAACATAATAGAATGGTAATTCTAGGATATCACAATGGCCCACAAGGCCTCCGAGTGAACTCGCTAACTAGCGAGCAACCCACGAAACCTAACCTAACCCACATACAATATTTGATTTATAAACCGTTTATAAAAAATTTGTTTTTAATAAAGCCTTTAGACGTTACGCAAATCCTTCGAATTCTCCCCATGAACTCCCATCTTAGTTCGTCATTAAGTCTGTAATCTGATATCTAACAAAGATTGTGCTGTTGACAATGCTAGGACGAAACATTCGCATGAGGAAAACTCTTTCTCTCTTTGTTAAGTCGAAAGAACTCTCTTAAGTTAAGTCGAATGAACTCTCTTAAGTTAAGTGGGAAGGACCTCGTTTCAACATGTTAACACAATTTCTTTTATGTCAGAATTTTCCTTGAAAAATGTATACAATATCGCGAAATACCATTTTACAAGAGAAACATTTTGCCTCTTCTCGCTATTCCTATCTTAGTGATTTGGGAAACCCCAAAGAATGACCCAAGGGATTTAATCGCATCATCTGTAAAAGTTATTGCTTGCGATTTAATGTGATAGATATTATGTTCACAAATCTGTGTCTCTTAAGCTGTTTATAGCTGTCACTTAACGTTGTGGATTGAATTCTATTTTATACTGATCCATTGACAAGGCAACGGCTACTTTACGACCAAACTAACGACTTATACAGGTTTCCGTAAGCCAAGAACGATCCATTGACAAGGCAACGGCTCCTTTACGGCCAAACTAACGACTTATACAGGTTTCCGTAAGCCAAGAACGAATCAACCGATTCATCATAGAATGGAAAGTAGAAACTAACTGAGCCTATAGGGAGGGACAGGTCTACACCTCTTTCATCCCTTTGTTATTGCAGCTATCTCAATCATTACACAGGCTGACAAATTTTAAAAAATGTCAAAACCCAAGGTCTATATTACACTTTTATATGTGACTGATCTACACTGATTCCAAATCTCATTGGGATATCTTAGCCTAAAGATTTAAAAAAGATTTTTCGCCATATTTAAGGCGTTCTACCAGTTTGAAGTCCTGTCTTTTTGGCATGTGTCTTTGATGTATCAAGAGGATTCATTAATAATGCGATCTACTTTAAAGAGTCTATCTGATTAGGGTTTATTACACATATGAAATTGTCTGAAGTTACCACCTTCAATATTTCCCAGTGGGATTTCGACTGTTCATTATCAAAGTACTTGTAATATGTATAACCAACCGGAACCAACTAATCATATAATTTTTACATATAAAAAACTGTTTTCATTGCTCCAATTTTTGGATCCAGTATCTGAGGACCTAACGTTATATTTATCTCAGTATTTTAATTAGTCCTCCACCACCCTGAGTGAGAATTCCGTTCGGAAGTAGTTCAACGATAAGTCATGCTAGAAACGCTATTAACCATATGTCTTTCTCGACTGAAGTCGTACAACCACAACAAAGGCCAAGTCTTGTAGGCAACTCATTCTTACAGAGTTTAAAACTCCCTCAGTTTTAAGTGTCCAGAAACCAAAAACTCTGGCAATACCATGAGTTTTGTATATGATCTAGATTTCCAACTTTCAATCACTTTTTAGTGAGATAATTTAATACGGAAACAACAACTTGTTGGATTACAAGAGCAATCACAATTTTTAATAGCTGCTTTTATAGCTATTTTGGTCGAAACAAGGTTAGGACAACGTCAGAGCATCGGCGATTTTGACAAAAGAAGACGAAATCGCTTGAAAAAAAGCTAACACATGCTCTTTTCCCGTTGCCCTTCTCACAGTTAAACTCGACTAAACACTATATATCTAAATGACGAAAAAAATCACTTAAAATGTTGAAGCCCCATTTTTCAACCTCCGGTTATCTCTGAACCAGTAGTTATTCGCCGGTTAAAATAAATTTTGTATGAAAACTGTCAATATATAGCACGAACGAAGATATTTAATTCTTCGGCATATTAATGCTGTGTTCCCCCAGGTCCAGGCATTAACAGTGAGTGAGGTCCACTTCGTTTTAACAGAAGTTCCTACTTAATAGATTAAATCTTCTAGCAGGAAGCCCGTAAGGACAGTTACTACCAAAATAGTAACTTTGCTCTCCGAAATAAAAACAAGCTTTGCGATCTTAATGGTTATATGGCGGCCACATGATCATCGCCATTATATTCGAATATCGTCGGCGAATATTCGGTAGAAAATAATGGCTGATAGTTCAGCCTTTAGAATACTACACTTGTCAGGTAGTTTGAAGGAAACTCCTGTTTCAGTATTCACTACGTAAAACCAAAATCCACAACAACAAGTAGTCAATGTAAAACATATAAATTCCATTACGGAGGATTGATTCCTTCTCATGTGGAATACGATCCACCAAAATGTAAAAGTTTTTATCAAACGATGTTTTGGGGGTGCAGTTGTCCGGAATTTCTCCCAGACCGTTGAGTATAATAGAGTGGCCTGACTCACCAGTTGTCTTGAGTCGCCGATATATGTATGCATTCAAATAAACTTTCAATTTTCAGCAAAGTAATCAATTAATCTGTCTTCTCATTCAAATTCGTGAATATAAGGCCCAATGACATCTGAATTTAGTTGATGTAATTGCTCTCCGAAGTTGATATGTAGAATCTAAATGATCAAAAATGCCTTTATTCACTAATAACAAAGGCCAACAAATTTTTAAGCCGGAGACCATAGTACATAATATATGAATCCAAATCTGGCTACAAAATTTATCCGTCATATTCGATTTTCCAGATGTCGTGTTATAAAGTTTGAAAAAGTCACGATTTTGGCCATATTTGAGACGCTATAACAGTGCGAAGACATCTTTATTTAATGTCCTCTAAAAGTCCAATCTGTCGACTTTAAAATATAGGTTTATCCACAGTTATATATTCAACTTTTTTCGAGATATACTATTTTATTTTACTTCATTTGGCATTTATTTTATGAAAAAACTAACTTTAAGATAATTTTCCCATAAATATACTATTTGAAATGTTTAAAACTATCTTGTCTTTGCTGAAATCTCGAAGGAAGAAGAATATATAACAGTGAATAAACCTTCATTTTAAAGACGACAGTTTGGACTTTCAGATGACATCACAGGTTTTTTAAATGAAGGTATATTCGAGCTGTTATAGCGTCTCAAATATGGCCATAAATGGGGTTTTTACAAACTTCTTGCCCCGATATTTGAAAAGCCTAATGTGATGGATCTAATGGCAGATTCGGTTTCAGCGCTACTCAAACGTTTTGAGATGTATACTTGGGTCTCTGGGTTTCGACTTTTTTCATATTATGGTGACCTGTGTAAACATCCTGCTTGTTGCAAACCTACTTTGAAAGATCAATGAGTACAGATATACAATTTGCTAGATCGTGAAATAAATTTCAATTAAAAACATTTGAGCATAACTGTACACAGTATAACTATTGTATGTACACAATAAAAAATTATATATATTTATATAAAATAAAATAAAAATAAAAAACACATAAATATTTAAGTAAAATACACTCGGTAAACTAAATACTAAAAGCGCTTTCTTAACGCCTTACAGTCGGTTCAGAAATTATTACATGAATCTGGAAAAATATCGGTAAGTTGTGTTAGAAACTAGAGGCGATTCTAGTAGTTTGTAAATGATATAATATAAATAAATTATAAACGAATTACACCAGTTGTTTGTTAAAACAAAATTACTATATGATTTTTGTTAATATTGTTCAATTTTTTTTTTGTTGGTTACAAAACAAGCGTTAAATGCACTTTAAAAAAATATTTTAAAAAATTATATGTTTTGTTTGAAAATAATATAAACAAAAGTTATTATACAAGTTTGCAATTACATATTTAATAATAAATATATATTTTGTACAAATTACTACGACAGTAAAAGGCGAGTTTGCTTTAGAAAATTTTGAATTTTAAAAATTATTGGCATTTGGTATACGGATACGTATGTACTTTGTAATCTTAGAACAAACTCGTCTTACAGAATTTTATTTCTATACACGCATTTGATTTATTTACCTGCTGGAATTTTTTTTTTAAAAACAACATATTTATACTAATTTCTTCTAATCAATTGCAACTATTTACTTTTATAAAAAATAAAAAACTAACAATAATTGCCCCAACTGTGTTTTTACTAAACTAATAAAACATTTTCAAAATTCAATCTTAAACAATAGACAACATTTGGTCGCACAACTTTAACAACTTCCCAAGAGCTGGATCGAGCACAAGAGCGCGCTGATAAAGCAGCTGCCGAACTGAGACGTACCCAAGCCGAGCTCAGAGTTACTCAGGTACCAAAAGACAGTTCTTTGATTTCATCAAAAATGCTTCACTTACATACATACTTACTGTATTTTTTTGTTCTTATTGGTTTAATTTTTGATTTCTTATCATGAGTTTCTTTTCATAAATTTGAATGTATCTATTAAATATTATTCTGAATCTGAATATATAATTTTTTTGTTAAGACTTGAAAGTGGTGTTAATATGATATGATTATTGGAAAATATTCGTACTATTTATTAATCAAATAAATTACAATATTCTTTTTTCTACATACATACTTACTTACATATACATATATTATATAAATATATCAGTTGAATTACATGTGCTTCTTGTTATAATTTTCAAAGCATCATAATGTAATTTACTTGAAATGTATTCAATTCAATACATACACACAGACAAACACTCAAATTCAAAAATCCAAAATTTTACTACTACTACTAATACAAGAATGAAAATATGAAAATAAAAGAAAAACTAAACACTGCACATTAAACTTTTATAAATTTCAATACACATCAGATCAATACAACACCACCATCAATACAATCAATAATAATTATTAAGAATATACAGCTTCTGTCAAAAATTTATTGCATTTTTAGTTTTATTATTAAAAATTTTAAACAAAATTAAAATGCAGTCTAAATTCAAGTCCGCTTTTCCGCTCTGGATCAAATTTATTAATGTGAAGCTTTCGCGAAAAAATCATCAATTTGGAATGAATCTTGTATCATTCATAGTTTTTTAATGAATAAATCGAAAAAGATTATTTTGACAAATGATCTTTTAAAATATCATTATTTAGATTATCAAACTTTTTTGACGAGAAAAAATGTTCACTGTTTTGAGATTTGTTAATGAAATATTGTAAACAATGAACAGCTGTTGCCAACAAAATCAACTATTGTGAATGAATTCTTCACAACAAGTTCAAGATAGAAATTTTCTCTTCCAGGGGAATGAAAATTTCATGAAAACAAAAATTTCACTTTCATTAGTAATAGGAGTTAATAAAAGTATATTTTAAAGAACATATAGACAGAAGCTGATCATTAATAACATGTTTGTCTTCAGCTTTTCATGCTTCACAAACATTCTGATGATCGTTCGCAAACATGGCATGAACATGTACTCTATCAATATCAGTTTTATCGCCATTCAGTTTTTAAGAGAAATCCACGATCACTTACGTTCATTGTTGTGATTCTACATATTGTCAAGTTCAAAAACTTCATACAAACGAGGTCAAATGCGCCTAATGAATGTCTCTCCCATTTTAATAAGTTTTTAAGTTAAACAGAATAATTCAAGTAGATTCAAAAAGTCTTCTAGTCAAAAATCGATCTTGAAATGATCTTGAACATTGCGAAACTGAATGTTTGTGAGATGTCTGTCATGTATGTAAAACCATCTCGAAATTTTAAGAAATTTTTATAGATTTTTTTATAGTTAAATATTTTATGCTTTTGATGAAAATCGTTCCGGGGTATGAAATCAAAATATCGTGTTTCCGTCGACTAATGATTAACTGTGGCAGAAATATTAGCTACGAATATGATCCGAGGATAAATGCTTCGGCTTTCAGTCGGCTAACGACTATCGATAATATAATACGACTATGGATGCAATCTTTTGAGATACATTCTTCGGCGTTGTCGGCTAACTAATGAATATAATCCGATGAGATAAATGCATCGGTAATACGATGAGCTAAATCATCAGCTCTCAATCGGCTTTAAAACATGTAAGAATGTATAGTCTGGCATGGCCGACCATATGATACTCTACACCAGTGAGTTAGTTAAATATGTGCAGTATTTTTTTAAATAGTACAGCATTTAATTTGTTTTCTATCTTAATTCAGAAAAATTTCAACAGACTAGACTATAGACTAGACTATAGAGTAGACTATAGACTAGACTATAGACTAGACTATAGACTAGACTATAGACTAGACTATAGACTAGACTATAGACTAGACTATAGACTGGACTATAGACTGGACTATAGACTAGACTATAGACTAGACTATAGACTAGACTAGACTATAGACTAGACCATAGACTAGACTATAGACTAGACTATAGACTAGACTATAGACTAGACTAGACTATAGACTAGACTATAGACTAGACTATAGACTAGACTATAGACTAGGCTATAGACTAGACTATAGACTAGACTATAGACTAGACTATAGACTAGACTATAGACTAGACTATAGACTAGACTATAGACTAGACTATAGACTAGACTATAGACTAGACTATAGACTAGACTATAGACTAGACTAGACTAGACTATAGACTAGACTATAGACTAGACTATAGACTAGACTATAGACTAGACTATAGACTAGACTATAGACTAGACTATAGACTAGACTATAGACTAGACTATAGACTAGACTATAGACTAGACTATAGACTAGACTATAGACTAGACTATAGACTAGACTATAGACTAGACTATAGACTAGACTATAGACTAGACTATAGACTAGACTATAGACTAGACTATAGACTAGACTATAGACTAGACTATAGACTAGACTATAGACTAGACTATAGACTAGACTATAGACTAACTAGACTAGACTATAGACTAGACTATAGACTAGACTATAGACTAGACTATAGACTAGACTATAGACTAGACTATAGACTAGACTATAGACTAGACTATAGACTAGACTATAGACTAGACTATAGACTAGACTATAGACTAGACCATAGAAGCCACCAAATTTGTCAAATGATCTCCAATTGTCACGATGATCTTACAAAAATAATAATGGCTCACAATAATAAATTTTTAAACAAGAATTTACTGCATAATTATACATATAAATGCTTTAATAACCTCTTAATAGTAAAAACATACTTTTGACATAAGCTGTTCTTATACAAAACAATAAAATAAAATTAAATATTTGTTAAACGGTTTTTTTTTAAGTTTATATAAATTTAATTAAATATTCTCTCACATCAGTCAGCGAACAATTAAATTTAAATATTTATACAGGTTAATTGTTTTTAATTTTTAAAACTTTTCTTTCACAATTTTATTTACTTTCATAATTAACTTGAATCTACTATTAAACTGTCGAATACGTTAAAAAAACTACAAAATACAAACAAACAAAAAAATCAAATCTCAATTATCTATTGTATCTATTGCTTGCATTCATACTTATAGGGCGAAACAGATAAACGTTTTGTGAGTAATTGCTTCCAACGAAACCAATCTAAACCAAGTTAAATACTCTTCATCATTTAAAATGCAAAATATCCAATTTGTTTCTTTTTTTTTTAACAGAAAAAGAAAAGCATTTAAATTTTAAATATTTTAAAAAAACCTTGTTAAATTCAATCATAATACCGTTTCAATTTCATATTTTTAATAATTTTATATCAACAGAAAAACATAAATAAATACATACTCTACATACATTATTAAAACATAATATAATTACATACAATTAATACCAAGATTTCTAATTACATACATAAGATTTCAGCCATTTTGTGCTTTTTATTTTCATTTTATTACATTTCAAAACATTTGCCGTTATGTGAAATCGTCATAAGCTCACGTATTGCTGTCTTATGTAAAAATATGTATATGCCACCATTTAAAACTGAAATTGTCCATTTTTGTCAAATTATTCATTTTTATGTCCGTTAAATTCATGTGTATTTGTGTAAAAAGCATAATGTTTCTAAACGTGTACATTTTTCATTTTTGCGCCAATAAGTATAGATTTGATATCGAACATCTGATTCAATTGCTTAACGATCATGAAATTCATTTTTTAATGTTTGTCAACGTATTTTCTTACACAAAAAAATCACCACTCTCTTATAATAACTCTCGATTCTTGAAAATAATTCAGAAAAAATTGGATTTTTTCTAGAGATTGTCGCCCGAATTTTTAAATTGTTCTATCTGCAGAATAACAAAGATAATTTTACATGTCGTTCAGCGATCTGGACCAATCTGCGATCAGTTTAGATTGAACTATTTTTATATTTACGAAGTAGGAACCTGTTCTTAAAATTATAGTGAGCATTAGTTTTTTCCTAAAAAAAACGATGTTATTAGAACCGCTTCTAAAGGAACCTGCTGCATTCTAGCTCCAATAGTTTCCTCGATATACAGTCTTTTGATTTAATTCATATGGGAGGGACCACGCCCCATAATCCGCCTATTTGTTAGGCAAATACTTACAAAGTTGGAACCTGTTTTCAAAATTACCGTGAGCATTAGTTTTTTTCTAAAAAAAACGATGCTAGTAGAACCGCTTCTAAAGGAACCGTTTCTAATGGAACCTGCTGCAGAAGTGGAAAGCTGAACCGCTAATTTATTAAACAAATGTTTACATGAATGTCAAAAATGTTCATTCAAATTAGAGCATTCTAGCTTCAATAGTTTCCCCGTTATACGAATTTTTGTATTTAATTCACATGGGAAGCACCACGCCCCCTTTTTCTAGTCTGCCCATATTTGTCTTAAATATTCATATTTATATCAAAGTTATTCGGACGACTTTTGAGCACTCCAAATTTTATAGTTTCCCAGATATACGAATTTTGGTACTGACTATATATGGGGTGATAGCCCCACTATTATCCGACCATTATTGCACAAAAATTTTCCTATTGAGACTGAAGTTTATCCTACAAAATTTGGGAACTGTAGCTGTTATAGTTTTCCAAAAGTGACACGCCCACTATTATCCGACCATTATTGCACAAAAATTTTTCTATTGAGACTGAAGTTTATCCTACAAAATTTGGGAACTGTAGCTGTTATAGTTTTCCAAATTTGCGTCATTTGATATTCGTTAGCAATATAGGCGTGGAATGTGCAACACCCACTGTTACTAGTTCGCCCATTTTTTCCCATAATACTCATATAGGTGGCAATGTAGTCCTTGCAAAATTTGAGGACAAAATTTTATTCATTTTGCCGATGAGATTATTAGTTTTATTATTGAAAATGAAAATTTGAATATTTTGGGTCTCTTCTAAAAGAAGTTAGACCGATCTGTCATGATCTCTACCCGATAATTTCTAAAAACTTCATAAAATATTTTGATCATTTATGATTTAATGTCATTCTAACATGTGTATATCCAGGTGTGAACTCTCTCTCTCTCTTCTAAAGTATCATTCTAAAGACCATATTACTGATTCGATGCCTGAAACAGTTTCTGTCGTTATGGGCATTTCAAATAAAAGTACAATCGTTTCCATATACGAATTACGACATCGTTTAAATGTCTACCACGGAAACCCGGACACGAATGAATACGTTAAACCCAATTTTAATGAAATTTCCGTTGTTTGTTGTTTATGTCAAAAGAGGTTAAATTGTTCATTCATAAGTCTTCCGACCGTCTGCCTCCTGCGATCTTGTTCATAATGAACAATTCGATCTTAATAATAATGAAGTTTAATGTAATCGCGCTGAAGCGATCTGCTACCTGTGTACCTTTGGTGGTCGTGGCAGAGCGCTCTGTAATGGTAGCATCGTATGCAAAAGTTGGGCGGAAGGACCTTTGAAGGTCAGGGAATCGAATCCGAAAGTTGGGCTGAAATTACTCTTTTACAAGATACTAATGATGAGAGATTCACTGCAACCTAATTCTGAAATATGGGAATAATGTTCCGGCTAAAATCTAATTGCAAAAAGAAATTTAAAATGCTTCTAATATATAGAGGAAAAATATCCTTTAAAAAGAATTTAAACATTTTTGGAAAAATCGATTTGGTACTGAAGCTGATTATACATCATTGGTAGTTGAGAGAAAGCCTCGAATCGTTTACTAAAGCCAATGAAAAAGCTTTACTCTAATATCATACATACATAGATAAAGAACTGCTCGGGATGTACTTTAGAGTCTGCTATCGCGCTGAAGCAGATCGTTCACACTTAAGCGATGTGCTATGCAATTGTAGCTTCGAAAGCAAGAGTAGAAATGCGGAAATAATAATCAGGCTAATCGCCAACATCATACATAAGATAAAACATGAATTGGACTTGGTATTACTTAGGGCGAGAATGAGTATCAGAACTCGAGCTCACACTGATCAGAGTTAACTGGCAATAATGAAGTGACAAAATACAAATATGTTCATTACTCTAGTGAACTTTAAAATATACGAAATCGCCATAAAACTACTAGACAGAACTTAGACAGAACAAGATATTTTACTTTAGGATGTCCCGTTCATCACTTTTTTTCTACGAATAGTTCTCAAATGAAGAGTATTAATGTACTGAATACGATATGCCCTTGAATATAAAAAATTCCCTGCCAAAAAAACCAATTTCCTTTCATCACCTGAGAAACTCTTAATAATACCAATAATTCTACAATGTCTAGACATTGTAATTGCAACCATTCAAAAAACATCACTAAAGAATCGAGAGTTATTATTCATATATTTTTTCATATTTAACAATTTCCTTTCGCAAAAAGTTTTCTATCTTCTCTATACATTAATTTTCTTTCTTTCGTTTTATTGCTGCACTTCTAACTTCCCAACACTAACTAAGTTTCGTAACTTTTGTAACATTTTGTTTGCCTTCACTTTGTAATACTAGTTACAACAACATTATACATTATATTTACATATGTACATATAAATTTGTTTTTGTACTTGTATGTCATTTAATCTCAACATCTATTCGTATTCGAACTTAACCACATACTCAGTACATACACGTACAAATGAAAAATATCTAATGTGTTGTATAAAAATAATAAAGATTCATTCAACATTCTTCATTTATGTTATCGTCGCTCAATTGCTTTTGTTTGTAGCCGTTTTTCTGTCTGTCCTCTTTGTGCATTTATTTCGATATCATTTCGACACCATTTCATGTAAAAAAGACTTAAATATAAAATTTGCTTTTTGTTTCGCACACGAAATTTACAGTCGGATGCGGAAAGAGCTCGCGAGGAAGCGGCCGCCCTGCAGGAGAAACTGGAAAAGAGCCAGGGTGAAGTGTATAGACTGAAAGCTAAATTGGAAAATGCCCAGGGCGAACAGGAAAGTTTGCGTCAAGAACTGGAAAAAGTACAAGGTGGCATTTCACGCATACACGCTGATCGAGATCGGGTAAATCACTAATCGGAAAATATGCTGCAATACATTTATATAAACATGTCTTCTTTTTCCTTTAGGCCTTCTCCGAGGTGGACAAGATGAAGGAGGAAATGGAACGTACCCAGGCCACTTTAGGTAAAGCACAATTACAGCAAGAAAAACTACAGAATGCTTTGGATAAGGCACAAAACGAAGTGGATCATTTGCAAGAGAAACTCGATAAGGCGGGAGCCGATAATCGTCGTTTGGTCTTGGAGAAGGAGAAACTGACATATGACTATGACAATTTGCAATCACAATTGGATAAGGCATTGGGCCAGGCAGCTCGTGTACAAAAGGAACGTGAAACTCTTACATTAGACACCGATCGAATTCGCGAGAAACTCGAAAAGGTTCAGGTAAGCATCGGCACCATTACTATCGTAACCTGCATCCAGTCTACCAAAGAAAACTATCTAATAAACTTATGTATGAGTATTATACTCCTCACATCAATTGTAAATGTAGACATAATACTTACCATACTTATGTATTCAACTCATAACCTCACTAACTTTCTACTATATATACTTACGAAAACCTGTCCATCTTTTTACATAAAACTACGTATATGTAATAAATCTATTATTCCTTCCTCATTATAATTATATATTCAATCTCATGTATGTGTTAAATATTGTAAAAGTATCTAATCTATCTAAACTACTTCTAAACCTGTAAAAAACTATTCTATAACTATACTATACATATATACTTTAATGTTGTATTTAAATTAACGTTGTACATAACTGTCATTTAAAATCTAATGAAACCCAAATGTAGATACAACTGGCACGTGTCCAGAAGGAACGTGATCAATTCTCCGACGAATTAGAAACTCTTAAAGAGCGATCTGAATCATCACAAACACTGCTTCAGAAAGCAGCACGCGATCGAGAAGCCATGCAAACCGATTTGGAAGTACTCAAAGAGCGTTATGAAAAATCGCATAATATCCAACAAAAACTTCAGGTAATTTTATACCACGCTTGTAGACAGACCCCTGCCCCAAGCAAAAAAAAAAAAACTTTCAATAACAAGTTTCGAAAACTGAAAATATGAAGTAAGAACTGCATGATTACTTCAAACAATTGGCTGTTTGTTAGTTGTAGCTTAATCAAAATTGTCACTTCTACCCTTTAGAGTTTGAATATTAACCGTTTCAAGCCTTTAACACAAATACTTGACCCTTCTTGCTTCTCTTAATAGATGGAACGCGATGATGCTGTTACTGAAGTGGAGATTCTCAAGGAGAAATTGGACAAAGCTTTGTATGCCAGTCAGAAACTTATTGACGAAAAAGACACTTCAAATAAAGAATTTGAAAAAATGCTGGAGAAATACGATCGTGCCCAGAATGAAATTTATCGCCTGCAATCACGCTGTGATACGGCTGAAGCAGATCGTGCTCGCTTGGAGGTTGAGGCAGAGCGTTCTGTACTCGCCGCCTCAAAGGCACGAGAAGATCTTCGCAAGCTTCAAGAGGAAAGCACACGTTTACAAGAAGCCTGTGATAGAGCTGCCCTGCAACTTAGTCGCGCTAAGGAATGCGAGGATAATGCTCGTGCTGAGCTCGAACATCATAGAGAACGTTACGATAAAATACAAACCGATCTGCGTCGTACCCAGGGCGAGAAGGAGCATTTACAATCAGAACTCGAGCGCGTCAGCTATGAATTGGAAAGAGCTCATGCTGCTCAAAGTAAAGCCAGTGCCAGTGTTGAAGCTGCCAAAGACGAGTGTGCTCACTATGCCATTGAACTTGAAAAGATGCGAGATCGTTATGAAAAGAGCCAGACAGAACTTAGGAAACTACAAGACACCGAGACCTTTGGACGAGAAACACGTCGTCTTAAAGAGGAAAACGAGCGTTTGCGAGAAAAGCTGGACAAAACCCTTATGGAACTCGAGACAATACGCGGCAAATCCCAATACGAATCAGAAACGTTTGAAAAATACAAGGACAAGTATGAAAAAATTGAAAATGAAATTGCCACCATGGAATCTAAACTCCACGAAACCTCCTTGCAACTCGAACTGTCCAAGGGAGAAGTGGCCAAATTGCTGGCCAATCAAGAAAAACAACGTAGCGAATTGGAAAGAGCTCATATTGAACGTGAAAAGGCCAGAGACAAACACGAGAAGTTACTAAAGGAAGTAGAACGTCTTAGATTACAACAAGCCTCCGCCATTAGTCCCGCAGATTCAGTGCGTACATCTTCGCTTTCGGCTGGTGAACGCCAAGAAATTGATCGTCTTAGAGATCGCTTAGAAAAAGCCTTGCAGTCTCGCGATGCCACCGAACTGGAAGCCGGACGTTTGGCTAAGGAACTGGAGAAAGCTCAAATGCATTTGGCCAAACAACAGGAAACCAACGAATCGACTCGTATTGAATTTGAACGTATGTCTGCTGAACTGGGTCGTCTACATGATCGCCTCGAAAAGGCCGAAGCAGAGAAGGAGACTCTGAGACAGTCTGCCAGAAACGGAGCCGCAGACAAACCTCATCCACAACTCGAAAAACACATACAACAGCTGGAGGCTGACTGCAAACAGCTGTCAATCGAACGGGAACAATTAGTGCATCAATTGGAAAAGAGCCAGGAAATCCTAATGAACTTCCAAAAAGAACTTCAAAATGCCGAAACCGAACTCCAAAATGCACGAGAAGAAAACCGCAAATTACGCAATGGCCAACCAGTGGCTCCAGCCGCACCAGCCGAAATTCAAGCAATGCAAAAGGAAATACAAACATTGCAGCAGAAACTTCAAGAGTCCGAAAAGGCGGTACAGGCGGCGGGTGCTGCTGCCCAAGGCGGAGCCTCACGAGAGGAAATTGAACAATGGCGCAAAGTTATCGAGGCTGAAAAGAATAAGGCCGATATGGCAGATAAGGCGGCTCAAGAGATGCATAAACGTTTACAGGTGAGATGATTTTTCTTGAAAACTCTTAAAATTTGTTACTAATTCTAAAACTTTTCTTTCCCAGATGATGGATCAGCATATTAAGGAACAACATGCTCAAATGCAGAAAATGCAACAACAGTTGCAACAGCAAGCACAACAACAACAACAGCAACAACAACAAGCACCTGCGAACACACAAGAAATGCAACAACTCAACCAAGAACTGGAGAAAGTCAAAGCAGAACTCCAAGCTGCCACAACACAAAGAGACCAATTCCAACAGCAACTGGAAATTTTGGTTGAAGAACTACAAAAGAGTCAGGTAACAAGAAAGCTTTAAAGAAAAAGTCATGTTAAAATACATCGATTTTCTAATACTCCCTTTTAAGGTTGCCAACCAGGAACAAGCGAAACAATTACAAGCTGCCCAACAACAAATACAACAACTACAGCAACAAATACAACAGATTAGCCAAGCGGGAGGAGCAAATGCTGCCGCCAGCGAAGCACAAAAACAACAACTGGAACAACAACAAAAACAATTGGAAGAAATACGCAATCAAATCGATAATCAAGCCAAGGCGGTCGAAAGTGAACGCAAAATTATCGAAGAACAGCGCAAACAAATCGAAGCCAAACGCAAAGATATTGAAGAGAAAGAGAAGAAAATGGTCGAATTCGATGTCCAACTGCGCAAACGAAAAGATCAAGTGGATCAATTAGAAAAATCTCTGCAAGCTCAAGGAGGTGGTGCTGCAGCTGCCGGAGAACTAAACAAAAAACTCATGGAAACTCAAAGACAATTGGAAGCGTAAGTCTAAATGCATTTACATTTATACATGATCAAAACTTATTTATTTTATTTATTTCTTTCCTTTTTTACAGTTGCATCAAAGAATTACAAAATACCAAGGAAGAACACAAGAAGGCAACAGCGGAAACAGAACGATTACTCAAATTGGTACAGATGTCTCAAGAAGAACAGAATGCCAAGGAAAAGACAATTATGGACTTGCAACAGTATGTTCCCAAAAATAATAACTGCAAACATATTTATTACTTTTTTTAATTCAATTATTAATTTATGTGTTTTTTTCTCCTTTTTGTGTGTCTTCTTCTTTCAATTGCAGAGCCTTAAAGATTGCCCAAGCAAAAGTCAAACAAGCACAAACACAGCAGCAACAACAACAAGATGTAAGTTATTATTACTTTGTGACATTTTAATTGTACCTTTTCAAAGAGTTTTGGGGATTTCTTGTTTAAACTAAATATGAATAGTGGCAATGAACTTTTTTCTTTAAATTTGGGTTAAATTATTTGTGAAATTTAGTGTAAAATTTGTGATGTGTATTTTATTATATCAACAAAGATGTTGTTATCACTAAAAAATTTGCTGATCTAGAGGCATGTTTGTATATGTTAAATGGTTATATCATCATATTTATACTGTCGTAAACACTGTCAAAGGGAAAATTCTAAAAGCTACTAGCGCTGAATAAAAGCGATCTTAGAGTACTAACGAGATTACATTTTGGTCTTAGACAACATCAATTCACTCTGGGAAACTTTATAACGAATCTATATAGATTCTGTAGCATACAAGGCGAAAGCTCTTACCTATTTTTGGTTTCTTTCAGAGCTAAGATTTTTATATCTTTACCGATATAATGTATTAAAGATGTTTATGAGCTAAATTATAGAGCTTGATATCATTACGATCCTGAGGTAAAAAAATTACCATTATCACTTCAGTAGTGTGGCTGTAGGAATTGATCAAGGAAAGTTTATAGTGTGAATGTTTGATAGTTTTCTTCTGGACGGAGTTCACCTGATCTGGCAAATGCCTCCTTGGTCATGTTACCTTGATAAAAGACCCCATCTTGGTGTTATTGCAATCTCGGGGAAAAGAGATGCTATCAGTACCTCTAAACTATAAACTGGAGATGATCAAATGTATATTTGGCCTTTCCTTGGAATAATTTGACATATAATTCTGGAAGAGTTCTGTGCTGTTGCCGAAGTCAACAGATACCCCACAGAGGAGTAACTGTGGAACTGTGCATTGGAAATTAGTTGGTATTAAATGTATATGATACAGGATGAATGTAGGGGTATTCGCCGGATGTTGTTCTCTGTATGTGTGTTGAATGCATAATAAGTGTGCTGGGTTGAATGGTGATGGATTAAAGGTATATTATACAAATGAGACCATTAAATTTTCCCTACTTGCCCAGGTATGTTCAGGGTTTACTCTGTTCATACCAGATTTATCACAGTTTTTTAACTGTGAGTAAGATGGATTCGTGTTTCGGTCTACCAAATACGTTTCTAGATGCTGTTGCCGACTGAACAGATGCCATCCCATCTATGTAGTTGTGAACGGAAGTGATGATTTTGAATCTCTAAAGTTAAGCAGCAATGGTCAGAGATCAGATAGCTCGAGTGCTTGAGAAAAGTGCTGGACTGCAAAACCATGTACCGTATAAGAAACACAACGGGCGGTGGTGAGTCGTCTACACAGCTCATCCAGTGGTTAAAAACCAACCAACATGAAATAAGGGCGGCCAACACGGCAGCAGTTCACTTAAAGCTCTTCGACATCATGTCCTGGCAAATGGTGGTGAAACGTCTGTTATCTTCAGTGATTGCAGCATAGAGATAGCTCGAAATTAAGTTAATTTATGATCCGTTTAACACCTGAATACTCTATGCAAGTGATTCAGAAGCGGTGGTAGTCTGTTGAAACTTCATTCAAATGTGCCCCGATAAAAGACCACTCAGTGGCATAAGAAGTCCTGACTTTCAAATTTAGGTGTTTGCATACTTCAATGTGATGAACTCTATACCGACCTTTTGTGGAATTATAGACCCATTATAACAACAATTCTGTATATGAAAGTTAATCCCTGGATGAATAAAGGACTTCTAGCAATATTTTTTAACTCGCTGCTATAATTTCTGCTAAAACTCATCAAAAAGGTAGAAGAAACGTATTACTTTCATGGGTTGTTTCGAAAATTTTCTCATATATCCGTTATTTTTGCCACGATTTTGTTAATTTTAAATAGGAAACTTTTCGAAAGTATTTCTGAAAGTATTATTTGGACTCAAGAGGAGTCTTCAGAAAATTGATTTCAACTGACTCATAGACATACACAGAGGGAAAAAGAAATATACACGCCTGGTACCAAATTGACACCAAACTGTTTATAATTTTTCTATACCATCCATTGACACCAAAGACTTAGAGCTTACCACGTTTATTAACATTTAGACAACGGATGTGTATAAAATTTAGATTTCGACAACGAATTGTTACAATGTTGACAACGTTGCGTTATCAATATTACAAAGTGTTGTCGTACGTATGTATATACTTTGACAACGGATGTTATTGAAAAATTATAACCTCTTTGGTGTCAATTTGGCGTGTATATTTCCTTTTCCCTCTGTGTACGAACAGACAGATATAGCTTAAACGACTCCGCTATTTATAAGGATAACTATGTTAAAGGAAGTACAAACGGAATAACAAACTTTAAGTACATTCTCTAATCTAAATCATAATGGAACCAGAGTTTTGATCTAGGAGCGAACTGTTCTTAGCTATTTACTATATAAAAAGACGTACGTATACTTTTAAGACACTTTTTAGACAAAAGTTAAGTCGTTATGTATTAATATTTCTAAGGAATGAGCTATTTTGGCTTTCGAAGTGTCTATGAAAATTATATTATAGCAAGTACTAGAGGAATAACAAACATTTATGATCAAAATACTCTAGATTGTAGAGTTTCCAACGTCTGCACCCATTCAGGACTTATTTGGGCCAATCAAAAATACATTTCTTAAAGAAATATCTTTATTGAAAGTGTAACAGTTTCATGAACACTTTTTGGTGTGTCGTTTTATATTATGACATATACAATTTATGACAACTAATTATCAAATTCTAATACAATCTTTTATTTTCATTTACAGGCTGGACCAGCTGGATTCTTAAAGAGCTTTTTCTAAACATAACAAAATTAAAGAAAACAAAAATTATTACTCTATCTCTCTCTCTCTACACTAACTACACTACAGTTTACAGTTTCTACTATATATATTTGTACATTTGTTGTTGTTCTTGCTTATACTTTTTTCGAACCATCAATTATCAAAAAAACAAAAAATTAAATAAAACAAAAGTCAGTATTTACATACTCTATACTCTACTCTTTAAAGTAAAATACAAAAAACAAAAAAACGGAAAAACAAAACCGAAAAAAAAATTAACAAAAAAACTCAAATTCAAAATATTTTTTCTACTATTTATACATAATTAAGAAAACCTCTCTAATACTGCTAATAATTGCTTTACATTTAAATTAAAATTTAAATTAAATAAATTTATGTATTGTATCATAATTAAGTTCAATCAAATATACATAATTCGACTAATTTCGTAAATTTTTTTCATTTCTAATTTTTCAATTATTTTATTTTTTACTTAGAAAAACAATTTTTGTGTGAATTGTGCCCACTGATGAATTGGTCATGATATATTTAAAAAAAAAATAATAAAATAATAAACATTAAAAAAACATAATGTGATGTCATACATAAATAATTCATAATCTAACTATAAATAATAAATTATTTGTCAAATAATTAAATAAAAACAGCATATATACAAAAAGCAAACCAACATAAAAAAACTAAGTAAATTTAGTAAAAAAAAAAATTATATAAAAATTAAAAAAAAATAATAATAAAAATAATACAGCATACCATACATATTCACTTTAAAAAAGGCAACAAAAAAAATGTTAGTAGTTAAATATTTATTATTATTATTATTATATTATATATTAACAATAATTACATTATAGACCCCCCGCCCCCTGTTATAGTTAGAGTAAATTTAATTAAGAAAAAAAAAAGTTGAAAAAATAATAACAATTATATAAATATTAATTAATAATTTAGTGTATATATTAGTCAAAGAAAGAAAACAAAAAAAGAAACATAATTTTTATTTTGTTTATTAAAGAAAAAATTATGCGAAAATTAACCAAAACATAAAAGGGAAAGAGTTAAAAAAAAGTAGAGTTATTATTACTAAAACAAATTAATATTTAAATAAAGTTTTCAATTCAATCAGCAATCAGCCCACAACACAACTTAAACACTATTTAACAATCAAATCCTATGAATTTCCGTTTCCTTCAGCCATTTACTTAGTTGTGTAACTTTTAAATAACTTCACCGGAAATAGTTAAACAATTTAAAGACTGATTTTTATTGCTAAATAAATTGTTTGTCAAATATTAACTACAAACTATCTATCTATGTATATTAAGTTGTTTTTGTACTTAATTTATGACTTCCCTCCCATCTATAATATTGCAAATAGAGGCTAAATAATCGGTATTGAAATTGGTATAATACCGTTATTGATTCGTTTAAGATCCGTTAAGATTATGGTATTGTTTCTGTATGTTACCGGTAAAAGGGTAAACGGTATTTAAATACCGATATTTATACAGATAAATTTGTTCAGGTATTCAATTTTAAATGGTATTTAAACGATACCGGTATTAATAACGGCATCGGTTACTAACCTTGATATTAACTGAGAATTTTAGAAACATTTGAATGTAGCAAAGTGACAATTTTAGCAAAGTCGAAACGCAGAAATAGATGTTAAAGTCGACAGATTATAGCGATATCCGGAAAATCTTATGTAATGAATAAATTATGAGGACTATTTCAGATACAGCGCTGCTCAATCATTTAGAAAAGTATACTTTGGTCTCTGTTAAAGTTATTACTTTCGCGATAGAGGCCTCGATTTAGCATAAATATAGATCCAAAATATAGATCCAGTTTCCCTTGTTTCAGTTTTTTCGATCTTTTAAAATAGTTTATTAAAAAATCTACGGTAATGTTTGTTTGTAATCTATGAACTCGGCACCTGATGGGACAAAATTTCATATATGTATGTTCCAGGGATCGTGAGAAGTGTTCCTGTATAGTATAAATTTGACTGATAGGTGGCGTCGACGTTTTAACTGTCAGCTTCAGCTAATTATAAATACTGGGACAATATATTGAAAAAATTATAATGATATAGGGATTTGCGATAAACTAGCAAAGTCTAATTCCCGCCTACACGTAAGGCAGATTGACACATTAGATAGTGCCCCACTTTCATGCAGCAAATCTTTCATTTAGGAAGAACTTTACAAGATTGCTTATAGAAGATAGGAACTCTATAATCGTCGATGATCTCTAGACTTAATGGGACTTTCAAGCATCAGACTATGTCTGTTGTTAGCCTGACAGGTGACTGTCATATGCACTTGCTAGGAGACTACGCTCGGATGAAAAGGAAACTATCGAACACTTTCTTTGCCTCTGTTCTGCTTTGTCAGACATAAGGACTGAGCTTCTTGGCAGTCCGATGTTGCATGAACTAGCGGCTCTCTCTAGTATTAATATAAACAAGATAGGGTTATTTATTCATGTTACAAGTTGGTTCGATTCTATGTAAAACTATACATGTAATGTCGAATGTGTTGGTCTAGGTAGGATCCATTCTCCAACGGAACCAATATATGTCATTTATCACTAACTTTAGATCAGAGAGTAATCCTTGACCCCTGCTCGACATCAAAAAGAATCTGTACCATCTATGATCGTCGAAGGTCTAATTCATGGAACTTTCAAGATCCTGTCATGTACACATGCTAGGAAACGGCGCACAGACGAAAAGAAAACTATCGATAAGTTTTTTGTCAGACATAAGGAACGAGTTTTTTTTGGCAGACCGATATTGCATGAACTTGCGGCTCTCTCCAGTATTAATATAAACAATATAGAGTTGTTTATCCATGCCTCAGGTTGGTTCGATTTGCTATTAAAGTCGACGTGTAATGACCCATGGGTAGGTCAAGGTATGACTAAGTATTTTTATGCCTTTTTTCATGCGTATTGCAATGTTTTTATTCTGATATAAAATATTTAACTTTTTGAAGTTATTGATGTCCTAGAATTGATCTGGTTTGATCTTCACTGCTGAAGATTGACTAATTTTTCAATTACGGTCTTTGTTCTAACCGAGCTAAGCTAGTATAGCGTTTCTGAATGTATGAGATTGACCTCTTTCTTTCCAAATCTTAAACTAAATCATAATGGAACCAAAATTTCGATCTAGGGACAAACCATTCTTAGTTATTTATTGTATAAAAAGATGTACGCAGACTTTAAAGAAACTGTTTGTATTTTCATTAATATTTAAATTCCAATTCCTGACAAAACTTACAAGTAAGATCTGCAACAGAGATCGGGTGTAAACTGGACAATAATTTGTCAAAGTAAAAGTTTTGAAAACCAGTCAAAAATAAAAGTTAAAGTCGTTAAATATTAACAATTTTTACTCTTTTGGCTTTCGAAGTGTCTATGAAGTCCATTTAAAATTTACTGTACACTATATCGGTTATCTGAATTATCTGATCATTAATTAATTTTGCAGTGAAATTCGTGGAAAATATGTATGTAAATAATGTTCACATTAAAAAAGTCTCATTTTTTCTTGAAAGAGAAAAAATTGCTTGACTAATGAAAAATGTGCAATTTGGATTCCACCTTTTATTAACTGGCAACTAATTGGAATAGATAACTGAATAGTTGTATTGGATTAGTATGAAGTTATTGAGTCAAATTTGTTAATTTTGCAGATGAAATGATCTTAGAGATACATACATAGATGTATAATATGTGGGTTCAGTTGTATCCGATTAATTTAAGATAAATTCAAATTTCGATTACATCAAGTAGTGGCTCGACCCGAAAGATCTTAATTTCTAGATAAAGTTGACACTACATTATATTATACGAAGATAATTGTATTTTTTTGGTAAAGCTTCCCTGAAAGTTTTGCAGGAGTCATAATTTCGATTAAAATTTATTGAAATAATCGTTCAAATAACGTTAGAATCAGTTCCATAACTGGTGCTAAGAAATACATACCGAGATGGCTTAGAACTTTGAGAGTAGGGTTCTATAGTTGAAACAAAAAGTCGACTTTTCGACTATAGCAGAAACTATTATGACAAAAGGTCAACTTTTCGACATTTTAAAGTCGTTTTATAGAACCCTAGTCATTATTGAATTAGTTTCGAATTTGGGTATTTAAGGTTAGAACTTTGGAATATGCTAGGAGTAAGTTAATTAACCCTATATAGAGTGAATTAATTAAAGTAAAACAAGGATTAAGAGTCTACTTTTTCGATTACTTGGGGACAATAAAGTTACGTTTATTTCATGAAAATCTCAAATTTAGTGCTGCTATCAACTTTAAACTACAACGAGATCACGAATTCGATCTATAAAACTTTGTGGAATTAAGATTTTTTCTACGATTTGTATTAAAATTTAGATAATTACTAAAAATTTTGAGAAAAGATATATTCCTTTAAACGAAAATCTCCTTGTTAAGTTTTTTAAAAGTTACAAAATTTTATGTTTGGCTAAACACTGTGCAATATACAGCAACAACAACAATATACATGGCAACATATTTATAAAGCTATAATTTAGATAATGGCTAATTTGAACTAATTTAAAATTGTAATTATAGTTCTTTTTTGTAATTAAATCTTTATTTGAAAGGAAAACCGACAACAAACTATTTGTATTTAAATATTAAATAAATTCATATAAATATACAAAATAATCATATATAAAATAAAATCTATTGTATATCAAGTGGCGTGAGTGTGTGTGTGTATAGGTGGAAATGTATGTATGTGTGTATTTACAAGACCCTGCAGTTTTGGAGCGGTTGTCATGAACTAGTGATTTCTTGATTTGTTATTTTACTTTGTTTAAAACTGGACCAATTGGCTTTGAAATAGTTTACATTTGCATACGCTAAAGTACAAACAAAATAAGCTTTAAAGTTTCTCCTCTTCAGATTACTTAAGATACAGTAAAATGACCTTTGACTTCCGATCTTTATTACAAAGAATACAAACGTGTCTAATGCATTAAAAATATGTGAATTTGTTGCAACCGAATTGAAAGATATTTGGGGAAAATTACTGCCGTAATAAGAGAGAGATACATTGAGTCATTGTAGAACTGCTGGGTACAAATACATACAATTAAAAACACATACACACATTTAAACATAAATAGACAAATAGACAGTATGTATGTTAATTATTAAAATTATTACGATTATGTTTATTAAATTAAATTAATTATTATAATTATGCACTAGGAACAATTATGTACATTATTATTATAATTATTATCATTTTGACAGTTAAAAAGTATCCTATAAAATACAAACATACATACATGCATATATACATACATATATATATTTAGAATACATATACATTTATTATATTTAATTATATATAATTTGATTTAGGAAATTTATTAATTAAAAAATGCAAATAAAAAAACAAACAACAAATAAATAAAACTAAATAAATTTAAATTAAAATGAAATAAACAAATTTAAAATTTATGTAAAATTAAGACATCACTGCCATGTTAAAGGAAAAAAAAACCATAAGAAATAACTAAAATACCAAAAAACAAAATAAATAACCGAAATTAAAAAAAAATATTAACCAAAAATAAATAAATTGTATTAATTTTTATTATTATTATTCTCATTGTTTCAGTTTCACTTTATTATATTTAAA